TATGTAAAACATAGTCTCTCTTTCTCTCTCTCTCTCCCTCACTCTCTCTCACTCACTCTCTTTCTCTCTTTCTTTCTTTCTTTCTTTCTTTCTTTCTTTCTTTCTTTCTTTCTTTCTTTCTTTCTTTCTTTCTTTTCCCCCTCTCAGTGTATATGCCTTTTCACATGCACGCCTGCGGTTGCGCGCAATTGTTTAGACCTGTCGGTGTGTTTATGTGTACATTTGCATGTTCGTGCTTCAGTACGTGTGCGTGCGTGTGTGTGGGGTCTGAGTGTGAGCAACCATGAAAGTACTTCCACATGAAAAGAAGCGCCAGGGAAAGACACCGATACACCAACTCACACACATTCAGTCCAGTGAACAGAGCTGCAAGAACAGATTTGTGCTGACTGAAGAGTGGCAAATGTCGTTGAGCGAGTTATTTATTTTAGATGTATGGAGATTCTCACCTGCAACGCCTAACAGTGGTTCAGTAGTCAGAACGCTCGCCTGCCTGTATGAAGTTCCTGGATGTGCAGGGGCAGGCAGGGGTGGCGTCCATAGGTGGCTATACTCCGAGTCAGTGTATTATAGGTTCAGATCTGCGAAGAAGAAGAGGAAGAAAACAAATATAATTGTTGTATCAAAGTCAAAGAGCAATGGATTTAACCATTATAATGGTAACCCTTTAGAAAAAGAAACGACTTGTACCTGTCGTTCGCAGCGGTGCTTTCTTTTCCTGAAGAAGAACCTTTTGGGCTCCAACCAAATTTCATACTCGTAATTTAATCTACTTTTTGAAATTTTAGTTTTGTTTTTGTATTAGTTTTACGACACTTGCAGTACAAAATAGGTCATACATGTGTCAAAGATGAGAAATTAATGGTGTTACTGGGGGAGAATATCATACTAAGAAAAGAAGGAGAGATAAGGGTGGTTGAGGTTTGATAAAAGAAAGGAGGAAACACAACAAAAGCGTCTTGTGCAGTTTAAAAAAGTGTTTAATTTAATAACGCTGAGAGATGTTTTTAAGGAGACTGCCAAAATTAATGTAATGTGAGTGTTTATAATATTAGAGTAAAACACACGCACACAAAAGCCACACACACACACACACACAC